GCAATGGGGGGGTATAGGGGACCCCTGGGGGGCCGTTGTGTCCCTATGGCAATGGGGGGGTATAGGGGACCCCTGGGGGTCGTTATATCCCTATGGCAATGGGGGGGGGTATAGGGGGCCCCTATATGTGCTTGTGGTGGGGGGGGTGTTGATGTATGGGGTTCACCTATATGTACGTATGGGGGTGACCCAAGGTGTCCCCGTGCACCTTATAGGGGACACCTACACAGTGCAAATATATAGGGGGCTGTAGGTGTCCCCCCACACTTATAGCGGTGAGTATGGCAGTGAATGGGGGGCCCTGTATGGGACCTGCTGGGTCGTGTCCCCCCCTGCCCCACAACCGTGTGTCCCCCACCCCATGGGGCTGCCCCTGTCCCCATCCTCGTCCCCGTCCCCATCTCCATCCCTGTTACTGTCCCATCTCCATCCCAGTCCCCATTCCCATCCCCATTCCCATCTCCAGCCCCACAATCACCCCATGGTCCCTGGGAAACCTCAGCCCATGCTGGAGGTGGCCCTGCCGTGCGGGTCACAGCAGCAGAAGGGCACCCAGGCCCATCACGGACGCGGGGAGCCCATGGGTGACGTTGTCCTCCGAGAAGGCCTGGTTGGGAGCTGGTGATGTGGGCTTTGCTGGGGTCTTCTGCAGGACACGGGGCCCATAGGGGCACCAGCAGGAACCACTGCCAGGTTCCTTGTTTGGTTGTTCCCACTAGGACAGTAGGGACATGTGGTCCCTGCACATGTGGGTCTGGTGGATGCATGGGGATGGTGACGCATGTGGTGGGTGTGTGGATCCAGTGGCAGCACGTGTAGACATGGTGGTTGCACGAGTAGATCGGGTAGAGGACATGTACATCTGGTGGTGGACACGTAGATCTTATGGTGAACATGTAGACCTGGTGGAGGACATGAAGATCTGGTGGTGGACGTGTAGATCTTATGGTGTATGTGTAGACCTGGTGGAGGACATGAAGATCTGGTGGTGGACATGTAGATCTTATGGTGCACGTGTAGATCTGGTGGAGGATGTGAAGATCCAATGGTGGACTTGAAGATCTGATGGTGGACATGTAGATCTTATGGTGCACATGGAAACCTGGTGAAGGACGTGTAGATCTGATGGTGGACGTGTAGATCCATTGGAAGACTTGTAGATCTGGTGATGTACATGTGAATCCATTGGAGGACATGTAGGTCCGGTTTTAAAGGTGTAGATCTGATGGTGCATGTGTAGATCTGGTGGTTCATGTAGTGGTTCATGGTGAACATGTAGATCTGGTGGTGGAGGTGCAAGTCTGCAGGGGTGTAAGTGCAGTGGTGGACATGTAGATCTGGTGAAGGATGGGAAGATTTGATGGAGAACATGCAGACCAGGTTGTAGATGTGTATATGTAGTGGTTCATGTGTAGACCTGGTGGTGGACGTGTAGATATAGTTGGGAATGTGTAGATCTGGTGGAGGACATGTAGATCTGTTAGTGGACACGTAGGTCTGGCTGAGGACGGAAAGATCTGGCAGAAGATGTGTAGATCGGGTGCTTCATGTGTAGATCAGGTTGTGGACATGTCAGTCTGGTGGTTCATGTGATTCATGCCATAGACCTGACAGCCGACGTGTAGAATGGTGGATGTGTAGATCACGTGGAGGACGTGTAGATCAGGTGGTGGGCGTGTACCTCAGGTCATAGAGATGTACCTCCAGTTGTAGACATGTAGATCTGATGAAGGACGGGAAGATCTGGTGGAGGACAGGATGATCTGATGGTGGACGTGTAGATCTGGTGGGTTTTGTGTAGATCAGGTGGTGGACATGTAGATCTGGTGCAGGAGGTGTAGATGAGGTGGAGAATGGAAAGATCTGGTGGACGGTGTGTAGATCTGGTGGTGCATGTGTAGATGAGGTTGTGGATGTGTAGATCTGGTGGTTCATGTGTAGAGCCGCTGGTGGACATCTAGATGTGGTTGTGCATCTGTAGATCTGGTGGTGGACATGTAGATGTTGTGGTGGAGGTGAAACTGGTAATGAAGGACATGTAGAGCTGGTGGTGGATGTCTACATCTCGTGGAGGACATAGATCTCAGGGAGAAGGTGTAGATCTGGTGGTGGACATGTAGATTTGGTGGCTCACGTGTAGATCAGATGGTAGACATGTAGATTTAGTGGTGGCAATGTAACTGGTGGTGGAGGTGTAGTGGAGGACTATAGATCAGGTGGAGGGCATGTAAATCTGGTGGTAGACATGCAGATCTGGTGGAGGAAGGTGAAATTTGGAGGAGGGAGAATAGATCTAGGGATGTATGTGTAGATGATGCTGTGGACATGTTGGTCTGGTGGTTCACGTGTAGAGCTTCTGGTGCATGTGCAGATCAGATGGTGAATGTGTAGATCCGGTGGTGGACGTGTAGAGTTGGTGGTAGGCATGTAGAGTTGGTGGAGGATGTGTAGAACTGATGGTGCATGTGTAGAGCAGGTAGATGATGTGTAGATGTGGTGGTTCATGTGTAGATCGGGTGGTAGACAAGAAGATCTTGTGGACGTATAGATCAGGTGATGGATATGTAGATGTTCTTGCTGCACATATAGATGTGGTGGAAGATGTTCTGTTTGAGGACAGAAAGATCTGTTGGAGAATGTATAGATCAGGTGGTGGAGGTGTGGTGGTGCATGTGTAGATGTGGTGGTTGCACAAGCATCACAGAATCACACCAAATGGCTGAGGCTGGAAGGGACCCCCAGGGCTCCCCCAGCGCAGCCCCTGCTCCCGCAGGGACACCCAGAGCACGGGGCACCCGGGCGCATCCCGGCGCGCTGGCAGATCTGCAGAGCAGGAGCCTCCGCAGCCTCCCTGGGCAGCCTGGGCCAGGGCTGGGCAACCTCACACCAAACAGGTTCTTCCTCAAAACCTAGACCCGACCTAAACGTCCACAACCCAATCCACATCTCGTTCCCCAGATCTGCACTTGCACCACCTGGTCTACTTGTGTTGCACCACAATTTCACCTTCAGAGACACCTCCACGACCAACTCTAAGTGTCCACCACCTGATCCACACATGAACTACCAGATCTGTGCACTCGCAACCTGATCTAACCACGTACCACCTGATCTACATGTCCTTAACCGGATCTTCTGGCCCTCCACCAGATCCACCAGATTCCTCTACTCAGCTCTGGTGAGGCCGCACCTGGAGTACTGTGTGCAGTTCTGGGCACCCCAGTATAGGAGGGACGTGGAGCTTCTGGAGAGGGTCCAGAGAAGGGCAACCAGGATGATTAAGGGAATGGAACATCTCTCGTATGAAGAGAGGCTGAGCGAGCTGGGCCTGTTTTCTCTGGAGAAGAGACGGCTCAGAGGGGATATGATTAATATGTATAAGTTCAGGAAGGGAGAATGCAGGGAGGAAGGGGACAGGCTGTTCTCACTGGTGGCCAGCGATAGGACGAGGGGTAATGGCCACAAACTGAAGCATAAGAAGTTCCGTCTCCAGGTGAGGAGCAACTTCTTTACTGTTAGGGTGACAGAGCAGTGGAACAGGCTGCCCAGGGAGGTTGTGGAGTCTCCTTCTCTGGAGGTCTTCAAAACCCGCCTGGATGCCACCCTGTGCCACATGCTGTAGGTGTGCCTGCTTGAGCAGGAAGGTTGGACTAGATGATCTGTAGAGGTCCCTTCCAACCTTAAATATTCTGAAATATTCTGAAATATTCTGAAATATTCTGAAATCTACATGTCCACCAGTACATCTACACATCCTCTACCAGTCCTACATGTCCACAACCTGATCTCGCATGTACCACCAAATCAACCTGTCCTCTACCTGGTCTACTTCACCGTTACAGATTAGGGTGCCCGAGTGCATGTATGTACATGTGTGTGCATCCACGAGCACACGTGTGTGCATATGTGCACTGGCATCTGCAAGTGCATGTATGTATATGTGTGTGCATCTACGAGCACACATGTGTGAATGTGTGCACTGGCATCTGCGAGTACGCCTATGTACATGTGTGTGCATCCATGAGCACACGTGTGCATGTGTGCACTGGCATCTGCAAGTGCACATATGTGCATGTGGGTGAGCACACACATGTGCAGTGGTATCTGCGAGTGCACGTGTGTGCATATGTGCGCATCCATGAGCAGATGTGTGTGCATGTGTGCAGTGGCATCTGGGAGTGCACACATGTGCATGTGTGTGCATGCACAAGCACACATGTGTGCATGTGTGTGCCTGCATCCGTAATCACGTGCACATGTGTGTCCCGTGGAGCATTCACCCACGAGTGCACACGTGTGTCCAGGCGTGTTTCCACCTGCGAGCACATACGTGTTCACATGTATCTCTCCACCAGCACACGATACCCGGTCGTGTGCACCCCCGAGCGGGTGCATGTGCACAAGCGTGCATTTGTGGGTACGTGTGTGATTGGGGGTGCGCTGCCCCTTTAAGAGCGGCGGGGGGCGCGGGGGCGTTGCCCTTTTAAGAGCCCCCGTGTAGGTCCGGTGGGCGTTGCCCTTTTAAGAGCGGCGGGGCGCAGCGAACAGGTGCCGCGGCGATGCACAACATTGCGAGGGGGGGAAACAAGCCGGCGCTGAGCGGCGGCGCGCGCAGCCAATGGGAGCGGCCGCCGGCGGCGCGCGGGCCAATGAGCGGCGCGGAGTGAGGGGGAGGGGGCGGGGCTCTGCCGGGCTCCGGCGGCGCTCGCCGCGGGGGAGCCGGTTCGGCCGCAGCGGTGCCGCCGTGAGCGGGCCCGGCCCGGCCCGGTTCGGGTCAGTTGGGTTGGGTTCAGTTGGGCTGCGTGCAGCCTGGTTGAGGCCGGTCCGGTCCGGTCCGGTCCGGTCCGGTCCGGTCCGGTTCGGTCCGGTCCGGTTCGGTTCTGTGCGGCCATGGCGAGGCGGGCCGCGGCGCCGCACGGCGACGACTTCTCGTTCGTGAGCCCGCTCGTCAAGTACGTGCTCTTCTTCTTCAACATGCTCTTCTGGGTGAGTGCCCCCCCCCGGGGTCCCCCCCCGCCGCCTGGGCGCCCCCCGGCCCGCTATGGGCCGGCACCACCCGGGGGGGGGTCCTTTTTATTAGGGGTCCCCTCCCCCTATGATTGGGGGGGGCTGAACCCAGCACCCTGCGCTGGGACCCCCCATGGGGGTCACTGCCCCCTCTGTGGTGACAGGGACCCTCCTGTCACCCCCACATTGCTCTGGGGGGGGGTGTCTCTTCCCCCCCCCCCCAGGTGACAGGGACCCTCCTGTCACCCCCACATTGCTCTGGGGGGGGTGTCTCTTCCCCCCCCCCCAGGTGACAGGGACCCTCCTGTCACCCCCACATTGCTCGGGGGGGGGTGTCTCTTCCCCCCCCCAGGTGACAGGGACTCTCCTGTCACCCCCACACTGCTCTGGGGGGGGGGTCCTTTTTATTAGGGGTCCCCTCCCCCTATGATTGGGGGGGGCTGAACCCAGCACCCTGCGCTGGGACCCCCCATGGGGGTCACTCCCCCCCCCCAGGTGACAGGGACCCTCCTGTCACCCCCACGGGGGGGCCCCCTTGTCCCTGGGGGGCTCCCAGGTCCCCCCCATCCCAGGGCCCCGTCCCCAGCGGTGGCCCCGGGGCCGGGGGGGTCCCCGCTCCCGGTGCTGCCCCACGGGCCGGCCGGGGCTCCCCGCTGCGGCGTCGGGAAGCGCCTTTCCCAGCGCTCCCTGGCTCTTCCCGAGGGTTTTCCGCATGGGTGCCGGGCTCCCCAGGGTGCTGCCAGCCCGGCCGGCGCCTCCGAAGCGGGACACGCACGGGGGACACTGCTGGGGCCATCCCGGTGCCCTGGCACCCGCCGGGCGCCTTTCCCGCCTTCAGCGCCTCGAGCGGCTCCAGCTTTCCAGGGAAAATCCAGGAACGCCCACGGCATTCCCGGGATGGAGATAAGAGGGCAGGCGAGGCCCCTCCTGCCGGATCCGGGCGAGTCCGGGCGGGAGCGGCCGCTGCGACGTGTGACAAGCCCTGTATTCCCGGCCGGCGCCCGTGGATCCCGGGGGCTCCGTGTCCCTGGAGGCTGCCGGAGGAAAGGGAGAGCCCTCGGGCGCCCAGCTGGGCACTAGGGCACCTGTAGCGGGGCCCGTGGTGGCCTCGGCATGTGGAATTCCAGCATGGATGCAGCACGCCGGGATGTGGTGCGGGATTCCCTTGGGAGCTGACACCCCCCATCCAAACTTCCCATATGGAGCACAGGGGTGCCTGGCACTGCCCCTCCCTGCAGCTTCCTCCCAAATCCCCCCGCTCCGGCTCCACTTCCCTTCCCGCTGGGGCCGCTTCTCCTTTCCGTGGCTCCGGGTGTCTCCGGAAGGCCGAGCCCGGGCGGCCTCGCTCCTTTGGTCTCCCAGGATGTTGGTTGCCTTCCCGAGGGCTTTTTTTGGGATGAGGATCCCCCTCTTTCCTCGGGCAATCTTCCCCGGGGGCCGCTGCCCTTGGTGGCACCGGGGCCACCGCTGCCTCGGGGACCCCCTGCTGTCCCCGGGTCCCTCTGCAGAGCTGCTCCCAGCACGTCACCCCAGCCGGGAGCCGCGGATGCCGGCCCCGGATCCGCTCTGCGCCGCTCCTCACATCCCGGTGACTCGGGAGGGTTTCCATGCGGCTCCCGCGTGGCCCTCGTGTTATCCGGATGAAGTTGAGAGGACAACGGCCACAGCCCTTGTCCCTCGAGCCCGTCCCCTTGTCCCTCGAGCCCGTCCCCTTGTCCCTCGAGCCGATCCCCTTGTCACTCGAGCAAGTCCCCTTGTCCCCCAGCCCATCCCATTATCCTCAAGCCTGGTCCCCTTGTCCCCCAGCCCATCCCATTATCCTCAAGCCTGGTCCCCTTGTCGCCCAGCCCATCCCGTGGTCCCCCAGCCCATCCACTTGTCCCTTGAGCCTGTCCCCTGAGCCCTTCCCCTTGTCCTCAAGACTATCCCCTTGTCCCCCAGCCCATCTCCTTGTCCTCGAGCCTCGTACCCTTGTCCCTTGAGCCCGTCCCCTCGTCCCCCAGCCCATCCCCTCGTCCCCCAGCCCATCCCCTCGTCCCCCAGCCCATCCCCTCGCCGTACAGGCTTGTCCCATTGAACAAGCACAATTTCCCTTGGTACATCCGTGGTGACAAGTGCCCTCGCCATCCTCCACATGCCCAGGGCTGGGATCCAGGTGAGGCCACCAGCCTGGCACTGCCTGCGTCCCCTCCTTGTCCTTCACGGCCGCAGCTCTCCGAGCCCTTGGGACCCTCTCCCAGTTTCCACAACCTTTTGTCGGGAGTGCGGGGACCCAGGCCAGCTCCCTGCAGAATTCCCTGGAATTCCCTGGAGCGGGTGCTCCACCCCGGGTGTATCCTGGGGGATACAGGGGGATATTGGGGTGCCAGATGGCAGCTCTGAGGGGACAGGAGTGGGTTTGGATGTGGACTAGGGGCAGGACAGCGGCTCATGTCCCCTCTGTGTCCTCTGCAGCCACAGAACGTCCCCTCCGTGTCCTTGGCCCGTTTCGAGGAGGTGGCCCTGCTCATTGGGACCCGTGTTCCTGCAGAAGGGGCTGCTTGTGCCCGCAGGAACGGGTGACGTCCCCCGATTTGTCCCGCAGATGATCTCCATGGTGATGGTGGCCGTGGGTGTCTACGCGCGGCTGCTGAAACACGCAGGTGAGGAGAGCGGGGCCGGGGCTGCACGGGGGGCTGCACGGGACCCACGGGGGGCACCGCCGCTCACGGCGCCGCCGCAGAGGCCGCCGTGGCCTGCCTGGCCGTGGACCCCGCCATCCTGCTCATCGTGGTCGGCGTCCTCATCTTCCTCATCACCTTCTGCGGCTGCATCGGCTCCTTGCGGGAGAACATCTGCCTGCTGCAGACGGTGAGGCTGTCCCCCTGTCCCCCTGTCCCCTCGTCCCCCCTGTCCTGGCTGCGGCTCCCGGGGCTGGCTCCTACTTGCTCCCCGCGCTGCCCTGGGGACAACGCTGTCCCCCAACAGAGGTGACGCCGAGGGGGTTGTCACCCCTCCAACCAGTCCTCCAAGCTTGGTGGTGCCTGGAGGTCACCGGTGCAGAGAGCCGCCCCGGGCACCATCACCAACAGTGTCCACAGGTGGAGAATTCCAGCTTGGATCAGCCTCACCTGCCCTTCCCAGAGCATCCGCCGGTGCCGGCTCCTTCCCAGCGCCGGGAGGGTGCCCGCATCCCGCTGACGCCTTCCTCCCGCCCGCAGTTCTCCATGTGCCTCACCGTGGTCTTCCTCCTGCAGCTGGCGGCCGGCGTGCTGGGCTTCGTCTTCTCTGACAAGGTGCGTCCGGGGCCACCGCGGTGGCCTGGAGCGGGGCGGCGGGGGTGACGCGGGGACGGGGCGGCCGCGCTCACGTCCCTGCCGCCGCAGGCGCGCGGCAAGGTCAGCGAGATCATCAACGGCGCCATCGTGCACTACCGGGACGACCTGGACCTGCAGAACCTCATCGACTTCGGGCAGAAGGAGGTGCGCGCGGGGCCCCGGCGTGCCCGCCGAGGGACGGGGACGTGTCCCGTCCTGCTTGTCTCTCTGGCGTCTTCCCCCTCACCTCACACTATTTATCTGCTGCCCCGGGGCACGGGGGGTCCCCACGGGTGGCTCTTCCCAGGGGGATTTGGTGGGAATTTAGCCTGGAGCTAACAGTGCCTGGGAAAAGCGCCTGGAAAAGGAGGAAGAAGCTCCAAGGGTTCCTGCTTTGTCTCTGGGATGGGGGGACTGTCGAAATGGTGGGAAGAGGAGGGAATCTCGGGTATCGGGCGGCACCGGGAGCAGCAGAAGCCCCGCGAGCGGCTGGGCCGGTCCCGGGGGGACACTGAGCAGCCCCCCGCGCCCCTGCCCGCAGTTCAGCTGCTGCGGGGGCGTCTCCTACAAGGACTGGTCGCAGAACATGTACTTCAACTGCACGGCCGCCAACCCCAGCCGCGAGCGCTGCTCCGTGCCCTTCTCCTGCTGCCTCCGAGCCGCCGACGAGGTGAGAGCCGCAAAGAAAACCCTGGGATTTGGGCTCGGGGCTCCCTAGGGAGCCCACGGCGCAAGGGATGAGGGTGGCGCGGAGGGGACGTGGATAAGGGGACACATAGGGAGTCCCAGGACCCCCCTGTGGTTCCTGCAGAGCTGTCCCCCGTGTCCCCTCGCAGGTCGTCATCAACACCATGTGTGGCCAGGGCATGCAGGCCATGAACTACCTGGAGGCCAGCGAGTTCATCTACACCAACGGCTGCATCGACAAGCTGGTCAACTGGATCCACAGCAACCTCTTCCTGCTGGGCGGCGTCGCCCTGGGCCTGGCCATCCCGCAGGTGCCGCGCGGGGAAGGGGCTCCGGGAGGGCTCCCCAGGGTGCAGATGGAGGGTGCAGGTTCCGTGGGTGCCAGGGGCTGTCCCATGGGTGCCGAGGGGCGTCCTGCAGGTACCAGTGGGCATCCCGTGGGTTCCAAGGGGCATCTCCTGGGTGCCGAGGGGCATCCCGTGGGTACTGAGGGTGTCCCATGGGTTCCAAGGGGCATCCTGTGGGTGCCGAGGGTGTCCCATGGGTCCTGAGGGCATCCCACGTGTGCTGAGGCACATCCTGTGGGTGCTGAGGGCATCCAGTGGGTGTTAAGGGCATGCTGTGGGTTCCAAGGGATGTCCCACAGGTGACAAGGGGCATCCCATGGGTGCTGAGGACATCCAGGGGGTGCCAAGGGGCCTCCTGGGTGCTGAGGGTGTCTCATAGGTGCCAAGGGGAGTCCAGTGGGTGTTAAGGGCACCCCATGGGTGACGAAGGGTGTCCTGTGGATGACAAAGGGCATCCCATGGGTGCTGAGGACATCCTGTGGGTGCCAAGGGGCCTCTTGTGAATTCCAAGGGGTATCTCCTGGGTGCCGAGGGGCCTCCCATGGGTGCCGAGGGGCCTCCCATGGGTGCTGGGGGCGTCCGACGGCGCTCAGCGCCCGCTCCTCTCCCGCAGCTCGTGGGCATCCTGCTCTCCCAGATCCTCGTCAACCAGATCAAGGACCAGATCAAGCTGCAGCTCTACAACCAGCGGCACCGGGCGGACCCCTGGTACTGAGCCCGCGGGCCGGGCGCACCCCGGGGCGAAGGGCAGACCCAGCGCCCCCCAGAGAGGGGCTCAGCTGGAGCCAGGGCCAACCGCGGTCCCCAAGGCCGGGGACAGGACAGTGGCCACCTCTGCCGGTGACACTTTGGCCCCGCTGGCGCGTGACGCTGCTCCTGAACGGAGCCTCCCCACCCCAAGTTAACTGGAGTGAAGGGACAAGCAGCAAAGGGACGGGTGTCCCCGGGGCTGCCCCTGTGCCTGGGGATGGCTCCGGTGTCACCTCAGGAACCCCCGAATCCGCAGCGAGAGGGACGATGGCTTGAAGGGCACGGGGACTCGGGGACCCGTGTGCCTGGTGCAGGGGGACGTGTGGGGGCCCTGGGGACGTGAGGGCACCCTGGGGACTCGGTGCCTCGAGCTGTCCCGCGCTGCTTTGCGCCCCTGGGCACCTTCCCTTTGCTTCCGCGGAGAATAAAGCGAGACGGAGCTGGAGGTGCCATCGTGAGGCCGTGGGGACCGGCAGGGCGCGAGGCAGAGCTGGGGGGCTGGAGCGCCTCGGGATTGGGGGGATGTTGGCTCTGAATCCCGTGGGAGCAGAACCGTGGGCTGCTGGAATGGGAGGACCCCCCCGTCCTCTGCCTGTGCCCCCAGATGGGAGGCATAGCCCTGTAGTAGCCATCAGAGAATCCCCCGCATGGGGGAAATGTCCCAGGTCTCCTCACGGAGAGGTAGGGGGGGCAGAGGGACGTGGCCCCTGCTCTCCTCCCACCTTCCTCCTCCTCCTCCTCCTCCTCCTCCTGTCTCTGCGGTGCCAGGGAGGAGTCTGCACAAGTCGGGCCTGGCAAAAAGCCCCAACTTGGCACTTTTGGGTGCGAACGCTGGTGTCGGCCCTGGGGACACCCCCCCCCCCGCTGTCCCGATTCCCGGGAAAGCCATCCCGGCATTCCCAGCCGCTTTTCCAAGCGTGCCGCGGGTGGGATGTTTCCCTCTCCCCCGTCGGTCCCTTTCCGGCTGCGCTCGGGCTGCCGGGAGCGGGCGCTGCCAGCGGGACGCGCCCCCCGCCTCGGCCTTTGTGCCGCCGCCTCGCCCCCAAAACGCAGCTTTTCTCCCCAAAAAGCAGCTTCTCTCGTCCCCAGCAAGGCTTTCCCTGCCAAAAAGAGCTGCTTTTTGGCCAAAAAGAGCTGCTTTTGTCCAAAAAGAAACTTATTTTGTCCAAAAAGTGATTTCTCCCCCTAAAACCACAACTTCTTTCCCCTCTAAGTAACTTTTTTCCCCCCTCAAAGGTGACTCTTTTTCCCCCCCGAAGTGACTTTTGCCCCCCCAAGAGCCTCTTTTCTCCCCCCAAATCCACTTCTTCCACCTCAAAAACAACTTCTCCCCCCAAAAGTGGCTTTTTCAGCCAAAAGCAACTTCTTTTCTCCCCTAAAAAAGTTATTTCTCTCCCCCAAAGTGACTGTTCCTCCCCGCAAAAGGATTTTCTCCCCCCTAGAAGTAACTTTTGTCCCCCCAAAAGCATATTTTCTGCCCAAAAGCAACTTCTCTTCCCCAGGAAGCAACTTTTCTCCCTGCAAAAACTGATTTTCCCCACAAAAACAACATTTTTTTTCCCTCAAAAGTATCTTTTTTGCCCCCTAAAGTGATTTCTGCTCCAAAAAGTGACTTTCCCCTCCAAAAATAATGACTATTCTTCCAGAAAAGCAACTTTTCCCCAGAAAAAGCAACTTCCCTTCCTGCAAAAAAATGATTTTCCCTGCCTCCAAAACCAACTTCTCTTTCCCCCAAAAGTGTATTTTCTCCCCCAAAAGTGCTTTCCCCACGGGGAAGTGACATTCCCCTCCAAAAAACTAACTTTTCTTCCCCCAAAAGTGACTTTTCTTCGCAGAAGAACAGTTTTTCCCTGCAGAAAAACAACCTTTCTTCCATTGAAGTGATTTTATCCCCCAAAAGTTGCTTCTCCCTGCGTAAAAGTAACATTTCTCCCCCAAAACCAGCCTCTCCCGCACAGAAGTAACTTTTCCCCTCCAGAAATGCCTTTTTTTCCCCCAAAAAAAGTAACTTTTTCCCCCAAAAGTAACTTTTTTTCCCCCAAAAAGGAACTTTTTTCCTACAAAAGCGGCTTTCCTTCCCCAAACGAGGTTCTCCCGGAAAAAAAAAAAAAAAAAAAGGCGGCGGCGGCGCCTTCCCCCCCCCCCGAGCGGCCACTTCCGTCCCCCCCGAGCCGGGGGCGCCGCTCCCGCTCCGGTTCCGCGCGGCTCGCTCCGGTACCGGCGCCGGTACCGGCCCCGGGGCGGCGCGGGGGCCGCGGCGGCTCCGCTCCTCCCGCCGCGCCGCATTCCTGGCCCGGGCGAGCGCAACAAAGGGGCGCGAAGCGGAGCGCGATCCGGAGCCGCGAGCGCCAAGCGGCGGTCGGCGTTTGGACCGGAGCGGGGACCAGAGCCAAGACGGAGGAGCGGGGATCAGAGTTAGGGCCGGAGCGGGGCTCGGGACCGGAGCCAGGACTGAGGAGCGGGGGGCCCGGGACCAGAGCGGGAACTGGGACTGGAGCGGGGTCCAGAACTAGAACCGGAGCCAGGAGCGGGGATTGGAGTTAGGGCCGGAGAGGGGGTCGCGGACCGGAGCGGGGACCGGAGCCAGGACCGAGGAGCGAGGATCGGAGTTTAGGGCCGGAGTTTGGACCGGAGCGGGGTGCGGGAGCGGGGTGCGGGAGCGGCGCGGGCACCAGAGCTAGGAGCGCCGCGGGGCCCG